GTGTGCAGTACAGTGTGTAGTACAGTGTGCAGTACAGTGTGTGGTATATTGTTTAGTACAGGGTGTAGTACAGTGTGTGGTACATTGTTTTGTACAGTGTGCAGTACAGTGTGTAGTACAGTGTGGAGTACATTGTGTAGTGTGTAGTACAGTGTGTGGTACAGTGTGCAGTTCAGCTTGTGGTACAGTGTGTAGTTTGTGTAGTACAGTGTGCGGTACAGTGTGTAGTAGAGTGTGCAGTACAGTGTGTGGTACATTGTTTTGTACAGTGTGCAGTACAGTGTGTAGTACAGTGTGTAGTACATTGTGTAGTGTGTAGTACAGTGTGTGGTACAGTGTGTAGTTCAGCTTGTGGTACAGTGTGTAGTTTGTGTAGTACAGTGTGTGGTACAGTGTGTAGTTTGTGTAGTACAGTATGCGGTACAGTGTGTAGTACAGTGTGTGTTATATTGTTTAGTACAGTGTGTAGTACAGTGTGCAGTATAGTGTGTAGTACAGTGTGTAGTATGTGTAGTATGTGTAGTACAGTGTGCGGTACAGTGTGTAGTAGAGTGTGCAGTACAGTGTGTGGTACAGTGTGTGGTACAGTGTGTAGTACAGTGTGTGGTACAGGGTGTTGTACAGTGTGTAGTACAGTGTGTGGTACAGGGTGTTGTACAGTGTGCAGTACAGTGTGTAGTATGTGTAGTATGTGTAGTACAGTGTGCGGTACAGTGTGTAGTAGAGTGTGCAGTACAGTGTGTGGTACAGTGTGTGTTATATTGTTTAGTACAGTGTGTAGTACAGTGTGCAGTACAGTGTGTAGTACAGTGTGTGGTACAGGGTGTTGTACAGTGTGCATTACAGTGTGTAGTATGTGTAGTATGTGTAGTACAGTGTGCGGTACAGTGTGTAGTAGAGTGTGCAGTACAGTGTGTGGTACAGTGTGTGGTACAGTGTGCAGTACAGTGTGCGATACAGTGTGTAGTACAGTGTGCAGTACAGTGTGTTGTACAATGTGCAGTACAGTGTGTAGTACAGTGTGTTGTACAGTGTGTAGTACAGTCTGTAGTACAGTGTGCAGTACAGTGTGTAGTACAGTGTGTAGTACAGTGTGTAGTACAGTGTGTGGTGTAGTGTGTAATACAGTGTGTAGTACAGTGTGTAGTGTGTAGTACAGTGTGTAGTGTGTGGTACAGTGTGTGGTACAGTGTGTGGTACAGTGTGTAGTGTGTGGTACAGTGTGTAGTGTGTAGTAGAGTGTGTAGTAGAGTGTGTAGTACAGTGTGTGGTACAGTGTGTAGTGTGTAGTACAGTGTGTAGTACAGTGTGTAGTACAGTGTGTAGTACAGTGTGTAGTACAGTGTGTAGTGTGTAGTACAGTGTGTGGTACAGTGTGTAGTGTGTAGTACAGTGTGTAGTACAGTGTGTAGTACAGTGTGTAGTACAGTGTGTAGTATGTAGTACAGTGTGTGGTACAGTGTGTAGTGTGTAGTACAGTGTGTAGTGTGTAGTACAGTGTGTAGTAGAGTGTGTGGTACAGTGTGTGGTACAGTGTGTAGTACAGTGTGTGTTATATTGTTTAGTACAGTGTGTAGTACAGTGTGCAGTACAGTGTGTAGTACAGTGTGTGGTACAGGGTGTTGTACAGTGTGCAGTACAGTGTGTAGTATGTGTAGTATGTGTAGTACAGTGTGTAGTAGAGTGTGCAGTACAGTGTGCGATACAGTGTGCGGTACAGTGTGCGATACAGTGTGTAGTACAGTGTGTAGTACAGTGTGTAGTACAGTGTGTAGTACAGTGTGCAGTACAGTGTGTTGTACAGTGTGTTGTACAGTGTGTAGTACAGTCTGTAGTACAGTTTGCAGTACAGTGTGTAGTACAGTGTGTAGTGTGTAGTACAGTGTGTGGTACAGTGTGTAGTGTGTAGTGTGTAGTACAGTGTGTAGTACAGTGTGTAGTACAGTGTGCAGTACAGTGTGTAGTACAGTGTGTATTACAGTGTGTAGTGTGTAGTACAGTGTGTAGTACAGTCTGTAGTACAGTTTGCAGTACAGTGTGCAGTACAGTGTGTAGTACAGTGTGTATTACAGTGTGTAGTACAGTTTGCAGTACAGTGTGTAGTACAGTGTGTAGTACAGTGTGTAGTACAGTGTGCAGTACAGTGTGTTGTACAGTGTGTTGTACAGTGTGTAGTACAGTCTGTAGTACAGTTTGCAGTACAGTGTGTAGTACAGTGTGTAGTGTGTAGTACAGTGTGTGGTACAGTGTGTAGTGTGTAGTGTGTAGTACAGTGTGTAGTACAGTGTGCAGTACAGTGTGTAGTACAGTGTGTATTACAGTGTGTAGTGTGTAGTACAGTGTGTAGTACAGTCTGTAGTACAGTTTGCAGTACAGTGTGTAGTACAGTGTGTAGTACAGTGTGTAGTACAGTTTGCAGTACAGTGTGTAGTACAGTGTGTAGTACAGTGTGTAGTACAGTCTGTAGTACAGTCTGTAGTACAGTGTGCAGTACAGTGTGTAGTACAGTGTGTAGTACAGTGTGTAGTGTGTAGTACAGTGTGTAGTACAGTCTGTAGTACAGTTTGCAGTACAGTGTGTAGTACAGTGTGTTGTACAGTCTGTAGTACAGTGTGTAGTACAGTCTGTAGTACAGTTTGCAGTACAGTGTGTAGTACAATGTGTAGTACAGTGTGTAGTGTGTAGTACAGTGTGTAGTACAGTCTGTAGTACAGTTTGCAGTACAGTGTGTAGTACAATATGTAGTACAGTGTGTAGTGTGTAGTACAGTGTGTAGTACAGTCTGTAGTACAGTTTGCAGTACAGTGTGTAGTACAGTGTGTAGTACAGTGTGTAGTACAGTGTGTAGTACAGTCTGTAGTACAGTCTGTAGTACAGTGTGCAGTACAGTGTGTAGTACAGTGCGTAGTACAGTGTGTAGTGTGTAGTACAGTGTGTAGTACAGTCTGTAGTACAGTTTGCAGTACAGTGTGTAGTACAGTGTGTTGTACAGTCTGTAGTACAGTGTGTAGTACAGTGTGTAGTGTGTAGTACAGTGTGTAGTACAGTCTGTAGTACAGTTTGCAGTACAGTGTGTAGTACAGTGTGTAGTACAGTGTGTAGTACAGTTTGCAGTACAGTGTGTAGTACAGTGTGTAGTACAGTGTGTAGTACAGTGTGCAGTACAGTGTGTAGTACAGTGTGTATTACAGTGTGTAGTGTGTAGTACAGTGTGTAGTACAGTCTGTAGTACAGTTTGCAGTACAGTGTGTAGTACAGTGTGTAGTACAGTGTGTAGTACAGTTTGCAGTACAGTGTGTAGTACAGTGTGTAGTACAGTGTGTAGTACAGTCTGTAGTACAGTGTGCAGTACAGTGTGTAGTACAGTGTGTAGTACAGTGTGTAGTGTGTAGTACAGTGTGTAGTACAGTCTGTAGTACAGTTTGCAGTACAGTGTGTAGTACAGTGTGTTGTACAGTCTGTAGTACAGTGTGTAGTACAGTCTGTAGTACAGTTTGCAGTACAGTGTGTAGTACAATGTGTAGTACAGTGTGTAGTGTGTAGTACAGTGTGTAGTACAGTCTGTAGTACAGTTTGCAGTACAGTGTGTAGTACAAGTACAAGTGTGTAGTACAGTGTGTAGTACAGTCTGTAGTACAGTTTGCAGTACAGTGTGTAGTACAGTGTGTAGTACAGTGTGTAGTACAGTGTGTAGTACAGTCTGTAGTACAGTGTGCAGTACAGTGTGTAGTACAGTGCGTAGTACAGTGTGTAGTGTGTAGTACAGTGTGTAGTACAGTCTGTAGTACAGTTTGCAGTACAGTGTGTAGTACAGTGTGTAGTACAGTCTGTAGTACAGTGTGCAGTACAGTGTGTAGTACAGTGTGTAGTACAGTCTGTA